GTATTTGGAGAGCTTCTCTGAAGTATGGGTTCAATTCAGATTCACATCCTCTGGAACAGTGGCATTGCCAGCTTTCACCGCCCCATGGCTTAGACAAAACAGATCCTTTGCTACTGAGGGCAATGCCCAGCCACAATGCCCACACAAACATAAGGGGAGAATGAAATTGCATTAAATAACTTTGTAAAAGGGGGACAGACAAGTGGAGCAGCTGCGTGGACATGCTTTAGCTCAGCAAACGCGCTTGCACAAGCATGGCCTGAACCCAAAATGGAAATAAAAGAATGTGCCGTTATATAATTGCACCATTGATTATTTAAACAACACCTCTCTCCTCATATATGCCAGATGACCTTGGGGGGGGGGGTGGCGAGTCTGTTTGTATTCCTGTCGGTTGCCGCATAAGGAGGTTTTGAACAGCAGATGGCCAAAAAAGGTGCTTGCCCCTGGATTTACTCCAGAATCATTAAAAAAAAAATCAGCCCAAAGCTCGCCAGGGATGTGTTTAGAAGTGGATTTGCACGAAACCCAGAAAAAACACAGCTGAAAAAGAGAAAAATCATCATGTATTCAGGCACGCAGAAGGTACCTGCGTGGCTCCCGACGAAGTCCCTGGGAAAAAGGAGCGGCCAGAAATCTTGCTGAGAAATAAAGTCCGGCTCCCTTTGAAAAAATAAAAAATACAAATAAAACCTGTTCGCCCATTTGTCTGCTCCTGCTTCAGGCAAGTGTGGGCTGGAGCAGCGACACCACCGAGAAATGTGGTTTCAGGAGACGAAGGAAAATGAACGCCTTCATTTTCCAGAAAAGATGAGGGTGAGGGCTGGAAGTGTCGAGATTTTTGTAAGTGCCGAGCCTTCTTGTTCAGCAAGGCTGAGGCTGGTCCTGCCAGTTTTGCGGTGGGTGGGCTTCCCTTAAAATGTCTGCTCTCTTTGGCTCTGTGGTTTGGGGGGGGTTGTTTCACTTGAGGAGCACTTCTGTCCACTGGACGTGACACTCATTCGAACAGGCGGGCAGGGGGTCACAGGGCCAGGGCTGACCACGTTGATGGCATCTGTCATCACCACCCCGAGGGCTTTCCTGTTCCCTCGACACACAGCCGCTGTGCCCATTGTTAACGCAGTTATCAGAGGGCAGCTTGGTCTCTGAGGGGCAAAGAAGAGCCCTTTGTTGGGTCCAAGTGCTCTCGCCTCGGACCTACGGTGAACCTAGGGATGAGCGGTCTGCACAGGGATCCTGTTGCCAATAGTTCTGCTCCGCAAAACTCAGGGAGTCGATCCACCTCACTTTTGGTCTTCCTCTGTTCCTGCTGCCATCAGTTTTTCCTAGCATTATGTTCTCCAGCGTGTATTGCATCCTCACGATGCACTCAAAATACAACCACCGCAGCGTCATCATTTTTGCTTCTACTGCAGTTCAGCCTTGATTCGATCTAGGACCCACCGGTCTGTCTTTCGGGCCAACCAGGGCATCTCCAAAGCTCTCGTCCAGCACCGCATTTCAAAGGTGCTTCCCGGCTGGCTTTCTTCATCATTCAGCTTTCAAAACCAGGTCCTATTTGAAGTGGATTATCTAGGTGCTTCCCGCCTGGTTTCTTCATCATCCAGCTTTCACAACCAGGTCCTATTTGAAGTGGATTATCTACAGTAGATCTCTTTCAATCTGGCTTCAGGCCTGGTTATGGAACGGAGACTGCTTTGGTCTCCCTGGTGGACGACTTATGGCGGTAACTGGACAGGGGAATTGTGTCCTTACTGGTTCTGCTGGACCTCTCAGTGGCTTCTGATACCATCAACCACGGTGTCCTTCTGGGGCACCTTTCTGGGACACGTCTTGGAGGTACAGTGGCTCTGATTCTTCTGGATGGCTGAAACTCAGAAGACAGTGTTGAGGGAATCCTGTTTGCCTCCCCTGACATTGGCCTATGGGGTCCCCCGGGGTTCAGTTCTGTTCCCCCATGCTACTCCATATCTACCGTGTTTTCCCCAAAATAAGACAGGATCTTATATTAATTTTTGCTCAAAAAAAAAACAAAAAAAACAACCACATTAGAGCTTATTTTCAGGGGATGCTTGGGGGCCGTACTGCAATGGATGCAGGAGAACGGGCTAAGGCTGAACCCAGACAAGACGGAAGTTCTGAAGGTGGGTGGCCCTGGCCGCGAAGAGTGGGGTCCG